GGGAAGCACTGGTGGATTCGATGGAACGACCCGTGACCTTCTACGACGAAAGCTCAAGCAAACCTGACACCCCGGCGATAGAAACGTCAATTGGTACTGCACCGGTCCCAAGCAACCATCGCAATTCGGTTGGTTACTTTGCTACGCGTCCTTCGGTTACCCGCCGATCCACTGACCACGCCCCCGATGCCGAGGATGACACGCCTCCAAGCTCGTCATCGGCGACCTGGGACCAAAGCCGCATTCCATTTTCCATCCCACGTTGGTCTGACGCACGCGACAGCACCGGAAGCTCGAAGAATTCCTCGACCTACTCGCTCGAGTACCCTGAGTCCTCCAAGGCACGCAGGTCCAGTGTCACGAAAGAGTCCTCTTCAAGCAAGTACCGCTTCTTCGACTTTGTTCCTGCTCCCTCCCGACGCAAGGCCAAGGAACGTGAACAGGCTCAATCGCATTCGCACGAGGATCTACGCAATGAATCTTAATGCACCAATGTCTGCCCATGCAATCTCCTTTCATATTTATACGTTTTTGACCTTGTTCTTCCTCGTCTACCTCTTTCCCATGTGCTCATGATTTCCACGTTCCTCTTTTTACCCCTTCTCTCTCTCTCTACTCCCCTTTTCCATCTTGCCTCCTCGAGTTCCGTTCTACTTGATCATCTATATTTCTATGTTCTCCTCTTGAAGCATGTGTCATGGTGTTGATACCCATTCCTTCTTTTGATTGTGTGTTTCATGGTCCCGCCCTCCCTTATACACATCTCCCCCAAGCCTAGCTCTAAGATAAAAACTAAGAGAGCTGAACATTAACGCTCTCAATTTTTGGGAAGAGAAAAAAGAAAACAATCTGATTTTTGAACTCGGTTGAGGCTTTTGTGTTTTACTCTTTTTGGTCGTTCTGAGGAATCTTTTTGGGCCTTTCTGTGTGTTTGGATTTCCTTCGGAGATGGTGGCCATCGTGTAAATACCTTCTACTCTTTTTATATTCTTCCAATAGATGGAATGGATTGGTGTTTTCGTTTTTGCAGTGTTTGTTGACTCTATTTATTGGATAGAAAGACAATCATTAAATGTTATTCGTTGAATACATCTGTACATCGAATCAGAACAATCAGATACGTCGCCTTTGAGTCATAAGACAGCAGGAGATGAACCAAGCTTTAGCCAACACCTCTCTTGCAACACCGGGTCTTCGAAGGAAGATCAAAACACATCAAAGCAATTAGCAAATAAGCTGTACAGCCACATTCTTGAAGAAAGAACATAAAGAAGATAAGTGTAGAATACATCACTTCCATAGGCAGAGCTTGCCACTAGCAGTGCCACCAGCAACCCAGTTCTTGCTACGGTGGAACACAGCCACAGCAGGAACAGCAGTGATGCCATCACCACCTAGTTGAGCAAGCTGGTCTCCATTGCTGCTGTAAACATCCACGAACCGGTTCATGTTGCCGATACAGAACCGTTGAATGGAAGATTGGGGGTTGATTTGCCATTGAGGGCGGAGACTATAAGAACAAAGTTAGGGCATGATACTTTGGCAAAACCAAAAGGGACGCAAAATGAATAAAGAAAGGAATAGTCATACATGGTAACCCAGCGGCCAGTCTGGCAGTTATGACGAACAACAGTGTCCGGAGTAAACTCCTTTTCTGCAAGTCTGTGGCCCTGCTCCCATGAAGACAGACCCTTCGCGCCCACATCGTAAATCTTCAGTGTGTCGTCGTAGGAAGAAGTAGCAATCTGCCCAGCAGCATTGAAAGCTGCGTGCGAAACCGAGAGCCGGCTTTCGTGCTCGGCAATAGGTGTGGGATTGTCCGGCGAGAGCTTGCGCAGATCCCATAATCTCAGGAATCGATCCAGGCTTGCTGTTGCGAAGTAGTGGGGCTGTGAGGGACACAGTGTGAAGCCCCCGATCTTCTTCTCAGAAAGATCCCAGTTTGACACATTGTTGTCTTTCCGCGGCGTTCGCGTATCATATCGCCCGAATCCACCTTGCAGTGTAGTCCAGTACAAAGTGTTAGGGTCATCGGGGGCCATATCTACTCCGGAAAGCGCTTCGTCGATGCTGGTGGACTCTGGAGCATAAGTCTCTGAAGAGACCATTTTCTCCAAGTCCAGGGATCGAACTGAGCTGTCATAACTCGCCGTATACAGGTGTGTCGGCTTTGAGGGGTTAACCATCATTGCGCTGATCGTCCGGGTGTGCGGCTTCAATGTGGTGAGAACTGGGTCTGGGTCATCGTCATCTTCGTCGTCGTCCTCGCCCGCTGCGGGCTTTTCCTGCGAAGCATCCAACATTCCCAGATGGCCCAGTTTGTCCCCTGCGAATATGAGAGGTTTGGATTCGGACGGGTGGAAGGCCATGCTATACACACGCTCCGGGGTAATCTTGATCCCTGTAATGGTCAAAAATACGTCAGAATGGTAGTTTGTCGATATAGAGGGTATAGTGATTACGCTGAGGGTCCCAAGACTCCCACAATTGAAGCCCATTCATCTCCTCCCGAAGAGCCTTCAGGTCTTTGTCCGTCGTCTTCTCAATTTCATCGTCCCCAAATGTCCTCTCATAGGGCTTCGCAACACCCTTGGTGATGACATCCACGCCAATCAGGCTATCCGCACTAAGCTTTTGACCCGAAACAAACATATCCGCCTGACTGAACGAGTCTGTCCGGCGCATCCTCTTGATTCTATCCGCTTCGCGCATCGCCTCATACTCGTCGTCGGCCTTGCGCTTCGCTACTTCACTTTCGGCTGCAATGCCTTTGAGGCGCGAGGATGTGCGCCGGGGCGTGGTAACTTCCTCGACCTTCACTTTAGGAGCCGGGCGCTTTTTCGGTTTCGCGCCATTGGTGCCGGGCGTCTTAGGGCTTGCGAAGAGCCCCGAGGATTGGGACTCGAGGGTGAGTTTCTTCAACAGCGCATCACGCTCGGCAATGTTTGCCAAACGCTGCTTTTCAAAGTCCGACAATTCACTTTTCGGTGCCATGTTCTTTTCGGGGGTTGAGGGCGTCTCTGGTTCGTAGGCAGTTTGCGCCTCGGGGGTGCGAGGCACGTCCTCGGCGAAACGCGTGGACCCGGTACACGACATCATGTGACTTTGCAGAAAGTTGATCGCTGATTAGTCCGTGCTTGTAAAAAAAAAAGATAGTGATCTTCTTGTTTCTCTTTTTTTTTAAAAAAAATTGAAGTTGTGAGGTTTGAAGAAGTGAAAGAGAAGAAGTAAGATTTACTCCAGGTTGGACTTGCTCTGAGAAGTGCACGAACAAGGCTGCTCAAGTGCAGACCTGACGACTCAGCAATGGCGACAAATATCAACCGGCTATGCTTCCTCTCAAGAAGCAATTCTACGGCTCCTTTCCTATATCACACCCGAACACTTACACCACTCTCATCCGCCGCCCGGAAACAATTCAATCGTCGTTTTCCACGCTCCTTTTCTACCCAGAATAATACCGAGACCGATGATGCAACGCAGAACAAATCACTAGCGGGGGATAACACAAGTCAGAATGCTTCTGAGGATTCAATTACCTCCAGTTCAACGAGTGAGGTAACCCGCAAACCGCGACGAAGCTATCTGCAGAAAAAAGCAGCAGCTGTATCCGAAAGGCCTAGCCTCAGACCATCAGTGGTGAAGAAGACAACGAAGATAGCACCGAAGATCACAACCCAGGAGAAATTGATATTTGGAGGACTCTTAGAACAGCTTGGATTCAAACATGATGGGGAAACTACCGAGTCGAGCTCATTGAAACCACTCAGCGAGGAGAAGAAGGCGGAAATGGCCGAGCTCATGTCGGTGTTTGACAATCTGCTAAAAGACCCAAGGGCAAAGAAAGCAGCATTGAAATCCAAGCAGCAACCGAAGGATGACTATTCTTCTTATAGAAGACCAGAGAAGTCAGATACGGAAGAACAAGTTCCAGAGGAGAACCAAGGTCCCAAGCGAATCTATCTCCGTGATCTGGGCTATTCCGAGCCCGCCACAGCCAGCGCTGCCGAAGTAACCATCAGCCTGCGGAGGGCAATTGAGATTGTCGTCAAAGCGGAATCAGAGCACATCGAATTTGCACTCTTCCAAGCCATTGAGGATGGCAAGGGCGACATGGGTGTGTGGGAGGTATGCAAAGAGCGCATCTTCTCCATGCTGCGCCACCTAGACGAGAAATCTCTCGTTGAGGCTTCGGACCCAGACAGCCTGAGCACAACAGATCAGCCCGAACCATCCACTCCCCCATCAGGACCTCTCCGGGTCCCAGCCGTCGTTCCAGTCGCCCCCGTCGTGGTATCTCTATACCCGAAGGTCCTCCTGATCGCCTTCCGCCTGCTGAACACTCACTTCCGCGAATCCCCACTTATCCCCCAATTCCGCTCAACGATCAAAGAGTACGGCCGTATCTCTTCTTTCCTCGGTGCTTCATCTGGCTTGTACGATGAATTGATCCATTACCACTGGCGAGTATGCAAGGACCTTCCCGCTGTGATATCAATCCTGCGCGAGATGAACCAGCTGGGCATCAACCCGAGTGGCAAGTCCCGCGGCATGCTGACCGGGCTTATCATTCGCCATGCCCGGGATTTGGAGGCTCATCGGAAATCCCCAGACGGGAAGGATTTCTTCTGGGATTTGCCGTCTAACAAGGAAGCATTCGATGAGCTTACCCGTAAGGATGGGTGGATGGATCAGATCGAGGCGCGTTCAGAGGATGAGGCGTGGGAACGTCAGTCTACTCGGACTTCCCGCCGCTAAGCTTTTGTCTTCTTTTTCACGGGCTTTTAATGTACAATATAGACTATCATGTATAATAATATCATCAGCGAAACCATTCCAAGCTTCATGTTAATACATCGTTTTTCGTCATGTGACTGTCATCTTATTCCAAGTAATGTATGTGCACTAATAACTGTATCTAACCAAAGAAGAAAAAAGAGCGAAAGCTAGCCCCAGTCTGGCTGGGGCAAAAGAAAGAAAACAACCAGAGCTCACGCTCTCTACAGACCCCCATGAATCCCCCAAAACTTTTCCGCATTGAAGGTATACATGTTATCATCCTTCCACAAATCATTAAAAGCAGTAAAAAGTACTAAATCCTCCCTCCGATGATCAAAACTCTTCCTCAAGCTCGCAATAGCCGCCTGCTGATTATCCACCGAAGGAATAGCACCTCCATTCGCATCCCCAGCATGCGGCCACCCAGACTCCGTAATCATAGTACGCTTCCCACCCGCTCTCTCAGAGATACTATGCGCTTGCTTGAGCGCATATGCACCAGCCCCAGCAGGCCGTTGCGTAGCATCGAAGAAAGCATGGCAGTTCGCAGCGCAGTAATCAGAGACATGGCAGAGTTCCGGGTGGTCGAGGAGGACGGAGAAAGTATCGACTGTGACGACGGGACCTGTATAGCCCTGCGCACGTAGCACGGAACGTGCTTTTTGGACGGCTGTCACGACGTCGCTGGCGGAGTTGGTACCGCCGTTTACGAGTTCATTTCCGACGGCGATCGTGTGGTAGATTGACCAGTCTTTTTTGCCGTCTGGGCCTGATACTGCGTCTCCGAAGGCGTCAAGGCTTCCTGGGAAGTTCTTTAGGTCGTAGACGCCGGCGAAAACGCGCATGTTGTGTCGACGTGCAGCGTTGGTTACGGTCCTTGTTTGGTCGCAGTCTGTGCCATAGATGCGGATGAAGGAGTATTCGGAGACTCGGTCTAGGTCTTTGTTTACTTCGTCTTGATTCTTGCAGGTGCGATCTGCCTTGTAGGGGGAGTAGGAGATGCCGAAGTGGGCGTGTAGGTGCTGGTGAGGATGGGGGTGAGGAATGGCTGGTTTGGGGTGTGTGTTAGGGTGCGGTAGCTCCTTGGGTTTGCCTTTGGCTGGGACAGGGTGGTCGTTCGCGTCGTTGTTGTCCCTGGATAGTACATTTGGTGGTGGTATATCGGAGACACCCGTGCCTGGGGTTGATATTGGGGGTTTCTTTGATCGAAGAGTTAGGGCTGGCTTTTTGATAAGGAACCAACATCTCTTCTCTTCATCGGGAACAGGTCTATCTACTAACATTATCTTGCAGTGCAGAGGTTAAGGCCGGAACGTAGTGTGTTTCCGTACTGACGCGCTCTCCCTTTTCATTGATCCAGACGACTACCTCTTTCGTATAGTGTGGTTGGGCGACATCGCCACGAGCCTGTTTCTCGACTATCGCCAATCAGCAAAATCCCATCTAAGCATGAGATTATTTGAGCAATAACGTTCTTACCCCCAGCTTTGGCGCAAACACCACATGCAAGTAGCAGGCCAACAAGCGCCTCATTAAGGCGCTTCATACTGCAGCTAAGTTCTCCCAGGGAAAACCGATCTGCAAACTCCCGAGTGAAGTAACCCAAACTTAGTCTCTGAACTTAGTCGACGGCGATCATCACAAGAGTGACTTCGCAACCATCTGGAAAAGGAAACCCACGGATATAGTGCCGATCGGACCCATTATAACCATGCTGCCGACCTCAAGCACGGAATTCCACCTATGTGGGCCTGATTAGCAGAGCGTGTAAACAAGAGGATAGCCAAGCATAGTGCCTCGATCTTGGGAGGAGATGTGGAATGGAATCAGGGAGCTTCCAAGATTTCAAACATGCCCCTTGGGTTGGTTGAGGGCCCTCTGGCATCCCAATTGGTCGAAGATATCTTAGTTTCGGGGCATCTCATACGAGATCTCGAGGTCAGTGATAGACCGAGAATGCTCCTAATGAGGGAGTCTATGGAATGCGGGGCCCATCCCTGGGGGTTGCTCGGAGACACAGTGGGATTCGGTGAATGTGAGAGAATGCTGGAAAGAAATTATTTGATATTATTGAGACATTGGAAGGGGGTCAAAGGAAGGGGGAGTTTTAGGGCTAGTCTGGCCCGGAGATATTGGCGGCCTGTTGGTGAGGTCCAGGGCCATCAAATAAACGGCGAAGTGATATTTTGACTAGAAGATTTACTTAACATCTGACTGGCAGGCATTCAAACTGGTGGCTATGGATACAGATACGGCGAGAGAGCAAAAGCAGAGGATCGGAACACAAGGCATTACCTCCATTCCAGGGTTAAAAAGCAGGTTCAGGTCTGAACAATTAATGTATGCAGATATAGATAAATCCGTCAAGGAAAGAGCCAAGGGTAGAAAGATAGTATTAAACAACTTAGAACCATTGCACAGGTATAGAACCATACCGCCAACGAAGAAAGAAAAGGGCGGGCCTGTGCAAGGCATGCAATAAGAATGTACATCGACAAGGTAACAATACAAGTATTGAAGGGGCATTAGGGCGTAGGTCGACTGAGAACGGAAAATCGATAGATGCCGAAGTCATATGGGCATGAGCAGTCATCGGATTGTCTGGTCAGGACCAGAAGCTAAGAGGCAAGGGAAGAGATTACTTTCTCTTGCTCATCACCTTGGTAATGGCATGTCGAATGATTGTTCCTGCCTTTTCAATCTCCTTCTTGGTGAGACCGGTAGTGACGCACACCTTCAGGGCTGGCGGGATAATCTGCTTGGGCTCGAAGTTGTCCTCGAGGGTCTTCAGCCGCGTGATTAGAACACCATTGGCGAGAGACTGCAAGATCGTTAGAAATGGTCAAAATGGTTAAAATGGAAGGAAGTGTAAAACATACCTCATCGACGACATCTTGAAGCAAGAACTGCTGGTCGTCTGGTGTAAGTCGCTTGGCAGCCACAACCTCCGGCTTGATGACCAGGATGAGAATAGGGTTTTCAGGCGAGCTGGTGCAGTAAATCCAGTCGCTCCGGGGATCCAACTGAGCCCGCATGGCCTTGGTGAGTTCCCGAAGTTGTGTCACTGTGTCAGGGTTGTTCTGAAGGATGTTGATAGTGGCACTGGCGGTGGTCGAGAGCAAAGCGGGAAGCGCGGCGGAGAAGGTGTAAGCAGCAGCGGAAATACGCTGGTGGTGAACAATCTCCTCTGAACCAGCACAGAAGCCACCTCCAGCAACGAGGGGACCAGCCAGTGACCCCACAATCATATCAACCTCGGCAGCATCGACGTTCTGGTGCTCCGTGATGCCACGGCCAGTGCGTCCCAAAACACCGAAGGACCAAGTTTCATCAAGGATCAGACGGAACTTGTACTTGAGTCTGAGTTCGATCTGCGACAGTTGTAAGCACGACAAATTCATAATTCAATTTAACGGGATCACATACGATCTTGGGCAAGTCCGCCATGTCACCATAAGACTCAAACAGACCCTCTGTGATAATAAATCTGCGAGTCAAGGGCTTCCGGGCTTGCTCCTTAGTGACCTTCGCGAGCACTCGCTCCAGATCCTCCATGTCATTATGCTCATACCACCGGACAATGCTTCGAGAGATCTGAATACCCTTGCGAATGGCAAAGCTAACCCCTTTATCCGCGACGATAATGTCTCCACGCTTCGAGAAGGCAGGAATAACACTAGAAATAGTCGAGAAGGCCTGAGAGTAGATGATGCAAGCCGCAGTCCCCAAGAAGGACGCAACATCATCTTCTGTCTTCATGTGAACATCCTGTGTGCCGTAGAATCCACGGGGTCCGCAGGGACCCACTCCATAGGCGCGGAGTGTCTGGATTGCCTGTTCCTTGAGGGACTCATTCGTATTGAAGTTGTAAAAATTGAAGGAGCCAAGGTTTGTGACAGTGCGACCGTTGGTCAGTTTCGATTTTGGGCCTACGGGGCTGGAGGTCACAATTTAATCCGTCAGTAAAATGTCCGCGGAGTAAGCTAGGCAGAAGCAATGGATACAATACCCAACAATCACGGTTCTCTTATCAACTTCCATCTGTTCCAAGGTTGTTGGGGTCCCGACGAGGGGTTCTGGTGTCCATTCGTCCACGAGATCATCGATCTCATCTTCCGTGAGTGGTACGACGCCCGGTTTAGTCGAATACTTGGGCGCTAGCAGATATCGGACGGCGAAGAGGAAGAGGAAAAGTTCGACGGCAGAACGAATTGGGTCATCTTGGTAGCTGGATTTCACGTAGCGGAGGAAGATTGCGGAGCCAGGCACACGGTGAAATAGATCCGCGAGTTCGTGCAGATATTCGGAAAGGATACGCTGGGTCTCCTGGAGATCCATGGCGGAGGATTGGAGAGAGCGCGAGTGGTGAGGTGCGCCAGGCCAGTGAGATACCAGAAATGCAATAGGTTAAAAGGAGGAGTGAAAGACAGGTGTTTGCTCATGGATGACGGAGTGAAGATGAAACGGGATGCTCGAAGTCCTGGGAACCTCCGTGGCACGTGATCTGTCTATTGTGATGTGCGTGGCACTCTAAATTTTAAATTAAGGACTACGACATGTTTGTATATCAGAGAATGTCACGAAAGCAATGCAATTTAATTCCGGTAGAAGTGTAAAATAAAACAAGCAAAGAAAGCTGGAAAAATGAAGGTAAACCCCCGAGGATGACCCTGGAAGACCGCCTCATACAAGCGTCATCCCACAAACAATATTTGGAAGCAACCATTCATTAAGATCAAATTGTGCGCCGGTGAGTTCAGAAAAATGCAGCGAATTTTAATAGACGCATAAGTTTGTACAAAGCATTTCCATGTCGTTTCGCCAAGGCGATTAGATGGACCATACTCCGGTGCCCTCGGAGGCTGCGGGGATGGTGCCTGAGGTGTAGCCCTTGGGGATGTTAGAGCCAGTGTACCAGGAGACAGTGTCATTGAGTCCATGGTCAAGTGGTTGCAGAAGGCCAACTGCGTTGGTCTTGGAGACACCAAGACTTTTCCAGAGGTCCTTCTTGAGAATGTCATCCAATGACCCCGTGTTCCGCAGGACGACAGGCGCAGCGATAATGACGACAAAGATGAGCAGCATGACAAAGTAAAGGATAGCGAAGCGGACCACACGTCTCTTCCGAAGCTTAGACTGCTTAAGAGTATAGATAGGAGGGCGGATTTGAGAGCTAAAGGCAGGTATGGTTAGTAACGAGTTATTTTGACATTGTGATGAAGAGATACGTACCTTGGGCGCAACCAAAACAGGATAACCGAATGGAAGGTGTCGACATAGGGAATGGCGAGGGCTGGGAGCATGACAAACAGAAGAATATGGCCGAGGAAGAAATCGTTGGCGAAATAACCGAGTTCAGTGATCTTGCACAGGAATTCACGTCCAGGTTGAGAGAGTGTGTGCCATCCCATGTTGTACCATTTTCCAGTCCACCATGCAATATTGGACTGATCGTTTTTGAATTCACGAGTCAATGCGAGAGAAATGATGACCTTGTATATGAAGCGCTGGAGAGCCATCGCAGCGATCATTCCAGAGATGGTTCGGGCCCAGCTGAGGGATTCAAGGAAGAACATGGCGAGGAACAGAAGCAGGAAGACAATAACGGCAATAGCATGAGCGATAGCGGCGAGAACAGCACCGAACTTCTTGCAGCACATGCCAAACAATGGGCCCATACAACAAGCCATGCCGAAGAACATGCCCGCAACACCAGCATTGACACCCACGGGAGCGAAAGCGACAATAGCAACACGAAGGATGGGGTTCGCAGCCCATTTGACATCATCGGAGTACATTGTCCGGGAGTTGATGTACAGGTACGGAATCAGTGTGGCACCAACACCAAGCAAGGGCGAAATGATTTCGCTGAAGAAGATGTTGGTGATGCGAGCTCTGGGGATATCACCGGAGCCTTTCTCCGATGGGACACCGAGAAGTTTCCGCTTGTAACCGGTAATACGAGTACGCGAGAGACGACAGAAGCCAATCCAAGAGGAAGCATGGGATCGGGAGTTACCGCGAGAAAGCCAGCGGATATAGTCGCGGTAATCGATGAAGAAGTCGGTCCAGGCAAACTGGTGAGGGTTGAACAGGAAGGGCGAGATGCACAGTGCGAGTAGAGAAACCCAGAACCAGATCAGAGCGGGAGTCCAGACCGTTGTGGTACTGAACAACAGCATCAGCAAGAGGCGAGCACCCAAGTAAATTGAAGGACCGGCAAAACGAGAATAAAGGACACCGAATGGGATGCGAGCCGTTGCGAAACCACGGCCAGTACCGATGTATCGCGCACCTCCGAAAGACAAATTCTGATGCACGGCGTTGGCGTAGATCTGACAGACGAACACCTCGAACATGAACGAGAACGAACCAAAGTGCTTGGCCAAACGAGTAGCCATACGCCACACTCCTCTCTCTGTCAACTCTTGGACGGCAAGAGGAACGAATGAGATGAAGAACACAATGAAAATGGAGATAACACAACGGTTGACCCAGTTAAGGATTGGAATCAGGTTGGCGCAAAGAGTGGGCACAAGAGGATCGGTAATGGGCAAGTCGGAGTTGTAACGGCACATGATGGTCTCGTGCTTCAAGGCACCGAGGTTGATCAGGACAAACATGAACATCTGCACAGAAAGCATAATGAACATGTTGTTCAAATGGAAACCAGGGTGAGCATAGTAGAATGAGAGGAAGCGATCGAGGGGCAGCTGAGTGCCGAGGTAGTAGTACTCTCGGGACAGCATCTGTTCACCCATACCAGTACCAATCTTCGTAGTGAAGTTGAGAATAGATCCGAAACCGAGATCACGACCCTTACCACACTGGTAATATTCACAATGCTTGATGCGACCTCCACGCAGGACGGCATTCATACCAGCGTAAATATCCTCGTTCAGGTGAAGTCCTTTCTGGGCTTTGGAAACACCGCCACGAGTAGTCATGAAAGTGCCGTTCAGGAAATCAGGGTGACCATAGTGCAGCTTGCCACCGACTTGAGCAAGTGTACGAGCGAAGAGGGTACCGAACGTTTGTTCCTTGGAGGCGGCAACATCACCAAGCATACCGACGCTCTCAGAGAAAATGTATTCACGGGCTCCCAGGATGGCTACAGGGTCCTCATCAGGCGAGGCAATTCCAGGGGTGTACGGCGAAACGTTGTCGGTAGTCAGTTCCTCGAACTCGGCCAGGACACTGCGAATCTTCAGACATTCTTCAAGGTAGTTGTCTTGGTTGGCGTCAATAAGCTGGATGTATTCACCACGGTAGAAGATGATGGCATGGTTCTGGTTGTCAGACTTTCCGTCTCCGAGAATGGGGTTTCCAGAGAGCTGGATTCTGAACTTGGGCTTGCGCATGTTGTTCTCGAGAAGTTCACAGTGACCATCGATCAAGGCCGAGTACAGGCGGGGTTCGTCGCCTTCATTGAGAGGTGGCTCCTCATCAAGGTATGCAATTTGCAAGTCGGGGTAGGCGCGGAGCAAGAATTCAGTGTTCTCACGTTCGTCCTTGTTAAATTTGGCGTAACGCTGCATGGAGACGCAAATGCGGAACTTGCGGCGAGCCATGCGTTCGAGCTCACGCTCAAGCTTCTCAGAGTTTCCTCCAAACATCTGCACAACCTCGGGGTTCTCAACACGGTAAAGCAACTTGATAGCACGGCTGTAGTTCATGAAACCAGACACAGTCCTGTACAAGGTCTGAGATCGGAGGGAGGCCCAAATTCTTGTGCGGAGGGTGTATTCAGGAGCGGCAGATTTGAAACCGATGCAATAGAAAGGAAGATCATCGACCTTGCTCTTGGCAGCATCCTTCTCGGGCTTCTCGTAATCACCGTTGAACTGCGAAGTCTCGTCTGCCAGAATCTTGGTATCCTTGACAAAGCAATCCCATTCGTGGGGGTGCAGTTGCTTGAGATATTCAAGCAAAGTGACACGCGAGTAAGGCTCATCTTCACGGATAATCTCGCGGAGCGACAGCAGGATCTTCTCACTGTAGTGGGGAACCAGGACCGTGAAGGTAGGCATGTTGTCAACGGGGAGAGGCTCGGGCATTGGTGTAGAGAGGGATTGCGCGAAGAACGAGATACGGCGCTCTGCCTCACTTCCCTGGGGGAAGAACTCAGTCTTAAAAGATTGATCTTCCTGTGACACGAAGAAGGTTGGGGCGCGGAGGGTGCGCTTGCCTTCCTGCTCAGAGGGAACCTGGTGGTACAACAGTTTTTGCACGTGGTCGATGGCCAGAAGGTGCTCACGGTACATGGAAATGATGATAGCATTCCAAACCTGTGAGATTAAGACCTTCGGCTTGTACTTGATCTCCATGTCTGTAGTGGCGAGCACCTTGGAGTAGATTCGCTTCGGAAGTCGGGAGAAAATATTCCTCCATGGTGACCAAATAGACACACCTAAGTAGAATGATCGTGCCACCGAGAAGATTGTGTTGCAAATAATGTACCACAGATAACTATCCAGGAAGAAGAGTGTCAAGTCCATGAAGGCCATCAGGCCCAGGAGGATCTGAGGCTGTCGGTGGCAAAGCGTGTTGCCAATGTATTTCGCGCCAGTACACTGGTGGATCTGCATCGGAGACAGGATGCGAATGGGATCCTTGAAAGATAGCGTCAAGAAGAAGTAGGACTCTGCCAACTTTGCACCGAACACACAGACCCATAGGCCATATGACATCCACATGTCGTTACCTGAAAGACGAGGGAAACTAGCTGTGAAGGTTTGACTGGCAACATATTGTCTTCCACCTTTCTTCATGTAGTTGCCGAACAACGCGCCCAACGGCTGGATTGCAAAGAAAGCAGCCGTGAGGATTGCAATAACAAAGTGGACAATACCGAGAGCGAGGCCAATACCATGTTCGGTTGACTCTCCTAATTTCAGCGATGGCAAGATGCTAAAGATGACGATACCAGGAGCAAGGTTGATAATGAACATGAGAAGGAGGAACATAAAGCGCTTTCGGAGGTGCTGCGCTCCAGCCCACCTTCGAGGAACGTACATCCATTCGAAAATGGTGGCTAAAATCTGGATGAAGGAGACAAGAGCACCACCGAAACCAACAGCAGCCAAGTATTTGGGCGTGCTTGGCTTGTTGTCAACCTGTTGCTGGTAGTTGATGGTATACAGAGTCGGCGCGTTGTAAGCAGTGAAGAACCAGAAGGAACCCAGGTGGATAACCCAAATACGATTGAAGTTCGTGATCATATGGAACCAGGAGCGGGTTTCCTTGTAAGTCTTGAAGAAGGCCTTCTTCCAGACTACGTCCTTCAACTTGGGCCATCTCTCGGCGATGGGAACATCGACTAGACGAGTCTTATCCTCGAACCCGATGCGCTCAATACCCTCGGGGTACCAGAAC